GTTGGGCTAGAAAGGTTTTTATGATTTGTACATGAGGAATGTCTATACAAAATGAAGAAACCTGAAAATTGACCTGTAGACATTAAAACAGCAGGGGATCAAACCAAAAGAACTATCGTTTAAGAAGGTGAAGGAAACGAAGACCAACATGTGGAGAATAGGCATGATTAAGAAGTCGGCACTGAGATCTATCAAACCTTTAAGCAGGAAATTGTCAAGCAAAAGATATATGTTGATTCTGGGTGTAGTTCTCTACTGTTTGAGGCCAGGACGGGCGTATTGCGAACCAAGACACATCGGGCCGAATACGGAGGGGTAGACACGGTATGCAGCGCGTGTTGAAAGGAAGAGGAAACTACCGAACACTTAATGTTTTGTAAAAGGCTTCACCCTATAGTTCAAGAAGTTGGCGCAGTTGATGATATATGGTGTTTTTTGGCGCAAGGGCCATTTGATGGCCAAAGAGCACCAGTTCATGAGACAGGAATGTGGACAATTATTGTGATTAGCGGCTGTATAAGGGCCATAAAATTCCTCGCCGTAAAGCGGGTAAAAACACACAATTAATAAAATCATGACCATACCGTGAAAGGTGTGTGTGGTGCGAATAGATGGCAAAAGGTAATGATAATAAAAACGATGGTGGACATGTATGGCATTAGCACAAGTGCCTCACTCGTTCATACCCTTGCGTCCAAGGGCAGTGAGGCAAGTGCTTTATTGTGTAGCCACCGCAGCGAAAACCTCTCTGGAGAGGTCGTTCTACGGTATGCCCGGGTATATGACATGAAAGCTAAGAATTTCTTTTAAAAACGCTAACAATGATTTGTGACTAAAAAGCGATTCCCTACCGACGAACATTGCAGGGTGTAAAGGTATATGTTGTCGGTAGGGTGAAGGAAAGTGTTGTTTTCTTAGAGTGTCCAATTGTTTGCACTGAATTAAAATGTGAAGAACTGTTAGTGCTTCACCACATCTGTCACACAATGGTGGATCGCCACCGGAGAAAAGATATGAGTGTGTCGTGTATGTGTGTCCTATCCTGAGCCTCGTTAATGTTACCTCTGTGTGACGTGATTTTGATACTGGTGGCCAAAGGCCAAGGTGTGTCTTGATAACGTGTAGTTTGTTTTGTGTGTGTGTATCCCACTTGCTCTGCCAGCAGTCCCTGAGTTTTCGTTTGAGAGACGGCTTATGATCAAGGGCCGGGATTGATGAAGGTGTAATGGCGTTGCTTTTGTGGGCGGATGCAGCAAGCTGATCCGCCATCATGTTGCTTTGAATCTCACGGTGCCCTGGCACCCAGCACACAACAACATGTCGGTTGAGTGTGTAGAGTGTGCATAAAATGGAGTAAAGTGAAACGAGGACAGGCTTTTTTTGTTTTTTAAGACTGTGCAGAGCCGTTACCACACTGAGGGAGTCTGTATAAATTACTGCTTTTTGTATTTGTGATTGTTTGATGTGTTTAGCTGCCACAAGTATCGCGTAAGCTTCCGCTGTGAAGATACTTGTGCCTGGATGTAGAGGGCCAGCATCCGAAAAGGAAGGGCCAACAGCAGCGTAGGACACAGAGGAGTTAGACTTAGAGGCATCTGTAAAAAACTCAGGACGTGTGTATTTGTGTTGAAGTTCCAAGAAGTATGTTCGAATATGGGCAATGGGCGCATGTTTAGTAACTTCTAGGAAAGACACATCGCAATCTATAGTCTGCCACTGCCACGGTGGAGGGTATGCTACAGGAGCCATTAAACTGTGTTCGAGTGACACTCCAGTGTCCTCAGCTAGACCCTTCAGGCGAACTAAGAAGGGCTGCCTCATTGAAGGCCTGTTTTGAAAAAGAATGGAGCTCGACAAGTCATTAATAGTAGAGTATGAGGGGTGCCTCTTGTCTGCTTTCACCTTAAGGAAATACACAAAGGACATGTAGGTTCTTTGCAGATGAAGCGACTACTCATTTGACTCAACGTAAAGGCTTTCTACGGGGCTGGTGCGAAAAGCACCCGTAGAAAGGCGGATGCCCGAATGGTGCACGGGATCCAGCATCTTCAAAGCACTTTGAGTCGCAGACTGATAAACAATGGCCCCATAATCTAGGCGGGTGCGAATAAGGTTCATGAAGCATGAATACAGGTTCATGAAGCATTTCTTGTCACTACCCCACGTAGTACGTGACAACACTTTTATAACATTCATGGCTTTTAAACATTTTGTTTTTAAATACTTTATGTGGGGTACGAAGGTCAACTTGTTGTCCAAGATTAAGCCTAAGAATTTATGCTCGGCTTTGACGGACAGACGTTGCCCGTTCAGTCGAATGTCAGGTTCCGAGTGCATGCCTTTCCTTCGAGAGAACAAGACACACGTGCTTTTTTGTGGGTTAAGTCGAAATCCGTTTTCATCTGCCCATTTGGAGACCTTATTTAAACCCAGCTGAACCTGCCGCTCACACATGGCCAAGTTGCATGACTTGAAGCCAAGCTGAACGTCGTCGACATATGTACAATAGAACATATTGCGGGAAATGGACAAGTGCAAAGAATTCATTTTAATAATAAAAAGTGCGCAACTAAGCACACCACCTTGTGGCACGCCTGTTTCCTGGACAAATGTTTGGGAGAGCACACTGCTCAGACGGACACGGAATGTCCGGTTTGACAGGTAACTTTCGATTATATGAAACATTCTTCCGCGCACACCAAGGTGGGACAGGTCTCTTAGAATTCCGAAACGCCATGTGGTATCATAAGCCTTTTCGATATCGAGGAACACAGAGAGAAAATATTGATTATGGTCGAAGGCGTCTCTGATCTATGCCTCGATACGAACAAGGTGGTCTGTGGTGGATCTACTTTCTCGAAACCCGCACTGAAATGGGTCGAGCAAATTATTTGTTTCAAGAAAATATACAAGTCGGCAGTTTATCATTTTTTCGAAGACTTTGCACAAGCAGCTTGTAAGTGCTATAGGCCTATAACTCGAGTGTAAAGAAGGGTCCTTGCCCTCTTTCAAAATGGGAATAACAATAGCCTCTTTCCAGGAGGTAGGAATAGTGCCAGAAGACCAAATAGCATTGTACAAACAAAGTAAGGTTTTTCGGGTTTCGTTTGGTAGGTTTTTTAACATTTCATACATCACACGGTCAGAACCTAGGGCAGAAGTACTGCAGGAGTTTAGAGATGTTCGGAGCTCAGCTAGACTGAAAGCTTGGTTATATGCCTCGTATCTAGTGGATTTGTGTTAGAGTTTCTGCTTTTCTATTCTTGTTCTGTATTTTTGAAAAGTGTCAGTATAGTGGGACGAGCTGGATACCTGTTCGAAGTGTGCACCGAGGAAGTTTGCCTGATCTTCCAAGGTATCACCCTGAGTGTTTACGAGTGGAAGTGTGTGTACTTGTTTTCCTGCTATCCTACCGACCATGTTCCAGACTTTAGCCTTCTGTGTGTATGAATTAACCCCTGATAAAAACTTCTGCCAGCTTTCTCTTCTGGCCTGCCGACGCGTTCTCCTGCCTTGAGACTATTTTCTTGAAGGTTTCAAGATTTTCGGCTGTCGGTGAGTTCCGAAGCAGCCTCCAAGCTCTGTTTTGCTGTTTGCGCGCGTTTTGGCATTCAGAGTGCCACCATGGCACACATCGTTTTCCAGGGTGTCCATTTGTTTGTGGGATGCATTTTGCTGCAGCATCAATCAAAAACGCTGTGAAGTAGTTCACAGTAACATCAATGTTCAAAGTACAGGTGTCATTCCAACCTAGACAAGCGATAGTATAAAACTGTTCCCAGTCGGCTCTGTTTATAAGCCACTTGGGAACACGTGGTGGACACTCAGTTACTGTCGTTGTGCTCAAAACTACGGGGAAGTGGTCACTTCCGTACAGATTACTGACGACTTTCCACTGGAGTAGAGGCACAAGAGATGGAGATACTATGCTCAGGTCTATGGAGGAGTAGGTGTTATTAGCGAGGTTATAATAGGTTGGTTCTTTTCGATTTAGGAGACACGCGCTCGACGAGATAAGGAACTGTTCGATCAGTCGACCTCGCGCGTCATACCGAGAGTCACCCCATAGCCTGCTATGCGCATTAAAGTCTCCAAGGAGAACGTAAGGCTCCGGAAGTTCATCAATTAGACAGTTGATTTGTGGGGTTTAACGTCCCAAAACCACCATATGATTATGAGAGACGCCGTAGTGGAGGGCTACGGAAATTTTGACCACCTGGGGTTCTTTAACGTGCACCCAAATCTGAGCACATGGGCCTCGACATTTCCGCCTCCATCGGAAATGATCAATTAGACAGTGTAAATCGCGTTTTTGCAGCTGATAGCTAGAAGGAATGTAAATAGTGCAGATTGTGATCAGTTTACCAAAAAGAACCGCTAGAACAGCCACTGCCTCAAGGGATGTTTGGAGTTGTAAGTGTGTGCATGCTATTCCTTGATTCACTATGATGGAACACCTCCGGATGATGTTATAGCATCAACACGGTCTTTTCGGAAAATAACGTATTTACGAAGAAAATTTGTGTGTTTTAAATTAAGGTGTGTTTCTTGTACACACAGCACTTTTGGTGAGTGTTCATGTAAGAGTTCTTGGATGTCGTCAAGGTTTCTGAGAAGGCCCCTGACGTTCCATTGTATAATTTGAGTGTTCATTGTGAATGTGAAATAGTGCTGTGTGTACAAAAAGCGAGTGGCTATTTAGACAGGGAGTTCGAGTTCACTTAACAGGGCCATCACCAGGCCCTGTTATCTGCTTTTTTTGTTTTCTTGACGCGCTCCAGGGAGCCACGCCGCTCTTTCGGCACCAAGGGTGCCGACGTATTCATTGCCTCCTCGGAGGCACTGGATGCCCGCACGTGCGGGCTCTTAATTCGAATTTCGGGCCTCGCCTGGTGAGGTGAGGCTTTGAGACCGGAGTACTCTGGAGTCTCCGGTCTCTGTTTGGGAGTAGGTGGTGTAGCCTGGGCTACAGCCGCCTTGGGGGCAGGTGCCACAACCACCGGCTCGGTATGCGCGGGCCGAAGGAGTGGTGAGGGCTGGTGCGGCGGTGCCCCCTGACGCGCCGCATCAGCGTATGTAGGTCCATAGAATGGAGCGACTCTTCGCCATGCTTCCTTAAATGTAATGTTCTCCTTCACCTTCAACGTAATTATTTCTTTTTCCTTTTTCCAGTATGTGCAGGAGCGTGAATATGCGGCATGGTTTCCTTCGCAGTTTACACAGTGTGGCGGTTGTTTGCAGTTCTCAGACACGTGGCCTAGGACTCCACATTGTGCACAAGTCTGGCGACCACGACAGGTTTTAGAGCCATGGCCATACCTCTGGCATTGGAAGCAACGACGAGGGTTTGGTATGTACGGCCTGATAGATGTCTTTGTGTACCCTGTTTGAATATATTCCGGTAGTTTACTGGATACAAATGTGAGTATTAAGTGTTTCGTCGGTGTTTCCTTATCATCTCTTCTAATGATGATTCTCTGTACATTAGTGACATTTTCGCTCTTCCACCCCTCCAAAAGTTCAGTCTCAATCAAGTCAAGTAAGACCATGTCAGATACCACTCCGCGAGTTGTGTTCATTGATCTATGTGGTGTTATGGTTATTGGTATGCCACCGAAATCTGAAAGACGGTCTAGCTTTTCAAATTGTTCTTTGTCACGGATTTCGAGGAGAAGGTCTCCACTAGCCATTTTGGTTACCTTGTATCCTGTGCCAAGAGTTTCGGTAAGACATCTAGAAACCAGGAAAGGAGAGACGGTTCTGGCTTGCTTTTCAGTTTTTTCACAGTGGATGACATGATAGTGAGGATATGTTTCTTTGGGCTGGTTAAAAAAGTTTATATCATCGGTGCGTACCCGCTTCAAGCCGGCACGATCAGACAGTAAGGGGAATGCTCTGTGCATGCCTGTCGTATTTTTGTTCAGCAGCGTTGGCGGCCACCCACCACGGAGCCCAACGAGGGGACGCTACAAGTTTGCGGATGCTGAAACCTGCAGACGCCAGCCGTACAACGCCACTATAACCCAATGCGCCTAGACCAAGGTAGGCTATTTGCACAGGGTTAACCCTAGCCGCCAGGAAGTTTGGAAGTAAACGGAAGATAGTAGAAGACAGGACAGATAAACAGTAAGAGATAAAGACGAAGATGTAGGGAGAGAGAGATAGGAAAAGGCGACTGCCGATTTCCCCTGGGTTGGTCAGCCCAGGGGTGCCGTCTACGTGAAGCCGGGGCCAAAGGGGTGTGTTGCCTCTGCCGGGGGGCCTTAAAGGTCCAATCACCCAGCGTCGGCTCAACCCCCAGGATCCCCTTTTCCCCGGACACGGCAAAGCCACGCACGGCTAGGCGTGGGAGGGAGTCAAAACTCCCCCGTTAGCTCGGGTCCGTGGTGTCGCTACACACGAAACGCCTACTTGCGCAGGCGCCCCTGCGGGGAGATGGCGCAGTTTTTCAAAGCACTGGGGTTTAGGGACAGGATGGGCAAGATGGGCAAAATAGGCTTTAAGCGGGTAGAAATAACTAGGAGGTTATCTGATTGGTGGCTACCATGAAGGCACGAGTGAAAATTAAATCCTTCACAGCAAATGCCAGTCCCTAACTCCACTATTTAAAGAACAAGATAAATCAAGTTTTGTTCGCCAAAGTTTACGGCTAGGTGGCGGTAGCCACCACCAAATCTAAAGGGTACCGCATATAGGTGTTCTGTGGCACAGTCATCTCAATTCATCCATTCATCCAACCATGACCTGCTCCTCAGCGACGCGGCCGCGATGTGGCGTGTGGCACACGATGCCCTGCAGCCTACGGCGAGAAACGGGCGGTGCGGAATATGCGGGCGCGTGCGAGCGTAGCAAAAAAATTTGTCTCCTTATCAGTTTGCTGAGCCCGGTAGGCTGCAGGTCGATGACATGAGAGCGTGAAACATCGTCGCTCACTGCATTGTCTTCCATGTCAACACCTAACCGCTACGCCCGGTTTGCTGGCCTTCGAACCGGAAGTGGCGGCGGCGAGTCAGCCGGCCGTGGCGACGACGGGGAAGTAGAAAAGAGAAGGCCACGAGATCACGTGTTCAAACGTGGCAGCGCCCATTCGCTGCTGCGGAAAACGGTAAATACAAATACACGCGGCGACGCTTTGTTCCGTGCGGTCTGAGCAGATTGTCGGTGGATAAAATGCGTTGGCTACAGTTAGCTGTTAATATCTGTGCTCTTCTCTACTGAATCGGTGCACGACTTCTATGCAACGTTAACATTAACCGCTAGTAAAGTGCATTCTGCCTTTCATAGGGATTCTCACCCTCCATGGGTGCCTCTCTTCACGCTTTCGCACTAAATCACGCCTTGCTGAGCTGTTTGTACGTGGTTAGCTTGTGCTCCGACTGCTATGCACTGCTGCAGCGTGACTGAACTACTTATTTACATCTTTGTCATCTTCATACTACAAAAAACAGAAAGCAAGATCGTAGAAAGCCCACATATCTGTGCGTTCATCTCAGTACCACCGTTCACACCTTATACGCATATAATTTTTTTCTCTCATTCCGTTCACCATGAAATGTGGGACACTCAATAAGTCTAGTCAGGAAAGTATTGGCTGACAGCGGTTTGCGCTATACTGCGTTTACCACCTGTACGCACATGTTCTTGTACCAGTAAGAACATAAAAAATTTTACATAAGAGTTCAGCAGAAATCTTAGCTTTCGTTGATAGATTGCGTGCATGACAGTGCTACAACAAAGGCCCAGTTAATGGGACAAGCATGTTTTTTTTAGACAAAAAATTACCACTGTTTCCCATCAGTCACTAACAATGCCACACAAACACTGAAGACAATGTAAAGAAGATGAAACTTTTAGTGAATTAATGCGGCATTGAATATAGGGTATGCCGTCTAAATTCATTTTCAACGTCTGGGCTCTTTAAAGAGTTCTTGAATGTACGCACAAGGTTGCGCCCAGTAATTCTGTTTTAAGTACAGTTTAAGTACTGAAGTCTCATAGATTATGTGACTAATACTTCGTTGTAGTGACATCAAGGCCAGATAAACACAACTAGCGCTCCTCGCATGATCGACATACTACAGTGCCGTAGTTTTACACCTACCAACAGCGCGCAAGTGCATAACCAAGAGCCTGTCTTTTTTTTATAACCAAGACGTTAAAAAACGCTGCATTTCCACACCATTTATTAGTCCTCATGTTTGGGAGGATGCCAAGAGCATTTTGCGATGTGCTTGGAATAGAAAGCGGCACTCACTCTGAAATTATTCTGGTGAATGGAGGGTACGACGACAATCAACAGCAGTCTTGAAAGTTGCACTCATCGATCTTATTACAATGTATTAGCAGCCGAGCAAGCCCAAATGCTTTCATACGTCGTTTCAAGCATACTTAGGAATAGTTACATCCCCACTAACATGACAGAACAAACCACAATTTGAGAGCGTGCATGATGAACGCACACATAGAAACACGACGTGGCTAGCAGACGACGCACGGAGCAATCCACACTTCGCATTGGCTCAATAAAATGCCATTGTGATTATGCGCTTGCCCTTGTGTGCTCTTTCTTCATTATGTTTTTGTATTGCGGCATCCGTTTGCATATTGTAAGATTCCGTCATGTGCACTAAGCAAAAAGTTATATTCGCTGTTTTTAAGCATGCCGGTGCTGGGGTCCCAAACCATAGATAGTTGTGTGAACAAATATAAATGCCCTGCACTCAGCGTTATTTCTGTTTACAGATTCCCGTCAGACACCGGTTGGCCCCGAATCCCCAATGCCTGAACCTTCTGGCCTTTACACTAGTGGCCGTTCGCATAAGTGCGCGCCTTGCCCGGAAACATCCGGCCTGGAAAAACTAAGAAGACATGTTCTGCTGACGCTTTCTTGTGTACGTGTTAAAAATGTTTGGTCCTATTAATCTTTTTACCAAACACAGTGGGTCCTTTTTTAACAACAAATATTAAGAAATTATTTAAATGACAAAGTTCACTCTGAGTAAAGATCGAGCAAATTTGGCGTCATTTTGTCCCACAACCACAATCATCATCTATATTGCGTTTCTTTCCTTGCATTAAAGCCACGCTCCCTGTTCTTACTGGTGTCGAACGGTACGCGCGCTATAAGATTGACATAGCATTCTTGATAGAAAGGTGGCCAGCGTCGAGTTTTTAATAAAGGAAACTCGAGAGGCTGGATGACAATTATTGTTGTGGTAAACAAAGACGCCATTTTCACTGAACTCTTTAGAGTGTTGCATACAACACGAAAAAAAAACAGACAAACACCCGATTGTGGCCCACTACCACAACGAAACCCATACGGATATCTTAGAAAGAAAGCTTCCTAGTTGCAGCTTCATGCCAGAATCGTGTGGTTGTCTATTCTCTCTTTCTTCTTAACTGTTTTGCCACCTCGCGGGATTACGCGAAACTGATTTGCAATGAAAGTGCATGTTCTGCGTGTGATAGCTCGAATATATGAAGAGAAGTCCGAGCAAACAATAAGTGAAAATATGATATCTGCCAGCAATTATCTCATGCACATGTGATAGCTCAAATATATTGACGCAATGTAGGCTGGCAACTATAGTGGCCAGCCTCTGAGGAGGATAACGAAGCAGTTTTGTGGGCGCGTGCTTTGGTGTTCGTGATTTTGGCATTTGGTTACGAAAGAAAGCGCCCTATTTCGTGCCTGCATCCCTGTGTCCATGACATTTTCTGGTGGAGTTGCTGGGTATGGTAAATGATAAGGTCTCCAGAGAACACCCGTGACGCAAGCCCATCGAGCAGCTCAGCCGAGTTTACCCCTATGCGCGTGCGTTCCAGCCGTCGCCTATAGGAACTCGAGCCACAGCACGGTTTGCTGCCTGATCATCAGAGTACTATGAATCAAACACCGCCTAACGTCACCGCGGCAGCACCAGCGCACCTGGTTGTATACCAGCCCAAGACGCCGAAGACATTTCACGGAGCTGGTTTTGAAGATGCCGACGACTGGCTC